AACAGTTCCCCTCCAGACTCGACAAGATGCGCTTGGCAATGTGTCCTCCATCTTCGCCTTCAGTTTTGCTGGTTTTTTTATTCCTGGTTATGAATGTTACTTTTACAGTTCAAGGTAAGATTACGATTCTCATATAACTTATAGGATAGCAGTTTACATACAATGCAAAACAGCTCAAAACGCATTGTTTTAGGTTATGTCATTGTTCTTTTACAATCATTAGGAAGTTTAGAGACTTTCTTAAAAGTTTCTTATTGGTCATGTATATTCCTAGAAATCAAGCATTTCCATAAAAAGCCAAGAAACTTGTTTCTTCAAGAATTAATCCCATAGTTCGGTTATAATTGCTATTGTTATCCGAGGAAATAGACTCGATAAAGATGTTCCTCGATCCGGATCGATTAGCTCTTCTTGTGTAAAATGCTACGCATATTTTTATTCAATGTTAACTCGTAGTACTTTATATTCGTGCCGTTTCAGAAAGACATTTTCTTTGTCGAAAACAGCAGCAGTGTTATAAAACTAAGCTTTATCATCGACGTTATCATATTGGCAGCGGACTTAAGTCGACTCGCCCCCCGAATAATGTTTCATTTTTTAGTGACTGTGAATACATCCAGAGCACTTTCCAAAACTAACCTATTTGCGACGTTTTTCAGTTAGAGATGTAGCCAGCTTTGGCATTTTTTTTCTCACGGACAAACTACAGTAGTCTCAGGTAAAAGGAGATATTTACTATGGAAGGACATCGTTGAAAGGTGACGCTCGCTGTTAACCTACTTTCTAGCGATAAAACTTTTGATCATGTACAATTGTCTCTAGCTAGCTAGCTGAAACTCTTCAGTTTCAACTTGATACGTTTGACTCATTGTATTATCGCACCAGAGAGGAGCAGGACTTGCAAAGATGAATTAAACTGTTTTGTTTGCTTTCTCCATAGATACTTAATCTTAATCTGTTTTTCGTGAGTGTTATTAAATTCAAAACGTTAGTTCGTTCTCAAATGAAAAGGTTCGGAAAGTGGTCACAACCTGTTCCTTGGGAGACGTAATGGTGTGGCTGGGGGGATGGGCGAGAGTTAATTGCACAAAACTGTCCGTATTATCCGTTGTTGAAGTGTTCTGGAGGTAAAAGTATCACTTTTGAGTATTTTAAGTCGAGCTTCGCAATCAGGAAAAGGTGTCGAAGTGCCACTTGGCCGGTTTTCCTGAAAACTTTTCGAACGTGCAGGAACTCATCTTGTAAATACAAAAAAAAAACCTACATGCGCAAGCTTACCGTAAATTTTTGACGCATTTTTTTGTCATGGAGAAGTGGATACTGTTCAATGTATAATGCACTTGGCAGGTTCCCAGGAATGTCAGCTTTTATAAAAAAAGCCTATCACGTTAGTTCTGCGGAGCACTAAATCCTCTTCAACAACCGAAAAGAAGGCTTAACTGTGATTTGTTTTCCTTTGGTTTCATTGCAATGTTAAAACCACCTTTCTTCTAACTAAAAATTGAAGTCACAGATTAAGTTAGACTTTCTGACTTCATTTTCTCATCAGTGGGTCGCTTACAGCGCAAATAGTAAAATAACCCTGATCTGATGTCACTGTCGAGTTAATACGTATTCAATGAAGCCACGCATGTCTATTCAACTTTCCATGTTAGTTCGTTCCAGAACTTTTAAACTTACTCGTATCACTGAAAATGACACTTAAATGTTTTACTGGCATTTCAGACGCCACTGAGGAAGCTGTAGCTCGCTAATGGCCTTTTAAGTACAGGCTGTACCTTGTGAATTTGGCTGGGACCAAAATTGTTTTTTGAATTTTATTTTTATCTTGGCCTGTTGAAATCCCGCAATTTCTCGTGGCAGTTTGTTTTCGTTTGTTTTTGTTATTGTTCTCTTTCTTGTTTAGAGGAGTCTTTTATTTATATGCTTGGTGCGAATCCAGAAAATTCAGATAGAGGACGCTGACGAAATTGCAGCAGAGCGAAAGCCACTCCCCTACCGCAAACCGAATAAAAAATTCCGCATTTAAGACGGTTAATCAATTTTTTTCGGAAATACAAGTAATAAGGGGACTGCGGGCGCCTCGCCCACCCCCCCCCGCCCCTCTTAAGTCCACTCCTGAATATAAGTGGATTTGGCTTTCATACTGACCTAACAGTTGTTTTATATTTATAGCGTCTCACTTGCATTTATCCATTATTGTCCTGTCCATGTGTTTTGTTTACACTTAATATGCGTGTTTAACAGCTAACACAATTCTACCGTTTTATCCGCTAAGGGTTTTCTCTGCTGCAAACTGGCAAGCTCAACATGTCGCAGACTTTTCAAGATTGGAGCTGTAGCAGTGGATGTTCACCCCCTCTAAATTGTCGACTGGCTATTTGTACCAACGTTGCATTTCCTCAAGCGTTTAGTGGATCTGGCAAGGTAAGTGTGCTAGTAGTCCTGAATGGCTGAAAATAACACCACCTCATATGAGACAAACTGGGACAAATGAAATTTATAACATTCATAAGTTTGTCCAATAAAATTGCTTCTTTCTTTCTTTTTTTTTTTGAGATATGGTTTTGTGAACGGTAAGTTGAAGGACCTCTGCATCAACTATGTTTCCAAGCAGTGGTGCATGGGTAGTTAAGTGGTCTATAGATATATATGCATGGCAGCGCCACGTAAGCTCAAGAGGCTGAGTACAGCTTCTACAACTGTTCCAAATCGCGTGATAATCGTCTGAATCTACCAAGGCTTCATTTTGACCTGTAGATCATTCGAGGGAGTTAAAGCCATTATTAACACATCACAGACATTGCGCATCACGGCACACAGTCGACGTAAACAAGAGCTTTCATTAACTATAAGCAGCATATTAACTTAGAGATAAAAATTATTCATTTTGTCCGATTAAAGCCTTTGTAACTGGGAAAATAAGGCTATTAACTTCATGTCAATTTATGTCCCTTGCTACATGCTGAAGTATATTTACTGAGGAGTGATTTTTTTTGTCGTGAAACGGCTTCATTTAGCTAAAGAAATTTGCTTTGCTCATATTTTATACATTTTTACCCCATTAGGTATACGTGCACGTGTCAATAGGCCACGGTGAAGAGTTTTCACGCGTCCACCCGCCTTCTGCTGTGTGGGTTCAGTCCAGTAGTACACGTGGATTTGAGGTCTGTTCACGTGAAGCAGGGACTAGATCAAATAAAACTGGAATTATCAACTAGCTGGCCTATCAAAATCATCCAAAAATGATGCATGGCAGTGTGACTTTTCAAGGACCGTGGACTACAGAAAGCAAATGTGACAAAGTTACATTCCCACAGGTTAGACACTTAACAACAGCGTCAGGAAGGAAAGAACCGTACATGATTGTGTGTGTGTGTACCCAATGACTAGCCAAAGAACATTCTTTTTATTTATCAATTGTGACATAAGTTTGTGTAATTTACAGAGCTTTGTTGGAAGACCTTCTGTGTTTGTCTCAGCTAAGTACGCTCGCAGTACTAAGCCTGATGACGCAATGTATGTTTGGTTGGAGAACGTGAATTCTGGAAATTTTGAAGTTTGCATCCGGGAATTCTTGCCGTTTGACGGAAAACATCAAGACACAATTGTGGTAAGTGAAATTTTGTTAAGGT